AAAAAAACTGCAGAAAACTGAGCATCACTGATAGAGGATGCAACCAATAAACTGTATCTACACTGACCTGTGATTTGTTCCTCAACACTGATAGCATTTCCGCTGTCATCGGTAGTCATGCCTTGAGCAACCGCATTGAGTTTTTCTCGAGCTTTTATTGCCAACTAAACATCAAAAGGAGTACTTGGTTTTCAAATTACTCAGACATCATATAAGTGCAAAGATAATAACACTTACTTCCTCAGCGGTTTTAAATGCTTGTTCCTTCGAACCTATATCATTTTCCCATTTGATAAGAGCTGCTTCCTTCTTCTTCATTTCTTTGATTTCCTATAGACCAGAAAGATTAAAGATCTGAGGATTGTAGATGAAAATATAGACGTTGAGTACGAAACAGATTTCGATTAATTTAAAACTTAGCCCAGAACGTTGAGAAAATGTGAAGAAAAATCTTCAACTGTAGGAATAAGCAATGGAAAATAAGGAGGAGAAGCTGCGCCGAACTGGAAACTCACAGCATCAAGTGATTTTCGCTTTTCTTCATACTCAGTAAGGGTTTCACCAAATGATTCCTTGCATTCTCGTTTCTCTTCCTCGCATGCCTCAATCTTGGTTAGTTCTGCTGCTACGCCTTCTTCAAGCTTGGAAAAAGCTTCCAAGTGGCGCTAAATGGAAAAATACAAAATCCCCCAAGAGGTGATCTAGTAAAAATCAATAATAAAGCTAACCAGTTTTTTTGCGTCTTCAGCATTCGTCAGATCAGCTTGTTGCTGTTCAAGAACCGCTTCTACTTCTCGTAACTCTCCCTCAATAACTCCAATCTCCTCTTTTTTCGCATCAGCTTGCTTTTCGAACTCTTCGGCGTTCAGCTAGAACAAGATCTTAATGATAACAACTGCGTATGGTTCCGCATACGATATACCTACGCATTTAGCCCGATTTCTTTTCAACATTGATTTTGCATTTACTACTTAAAAATGCTCCACAATTCCTTACAGTATCTGCAGACTGATCACTAACTTAGAGAATCAAAGAAAGACAG